GGGGAAATCCGGCGCAGAGGCGGCGGTCCCCGGCGGAGGGAGCGGAGAGCGGCCGTGGGCAGGGGGGCGCGGGAGGACGTGGAGGGGGATGCGGGAGGGTGGCGGGGTGCAGCAGGACAGGGGGATGCGGGAGGACAGAGGGACGCGAGAAGGTGTGCAGAGGGACGTAGGTGGTCTGCAGGAGGACAGAGGCAGCCCCGCCGGGCCAGGGTTTCTGGTGCGGCAGGTTTCCAGCGCCCTCGCTTTCCCTCGGGGTTTTTAAAATTTGCGTCGCCCCCCGCTGCGGCCGCGGGCACGGAGCGCTGCAGCGGCAGGGGGGGGGGCCGCCCACGGGCCGGGGGGGGGCGCACTGCCTGCGAGCGTTGCCTGAAAGCGGTGGGATCCATAATCACGCCCGTTTTGTCCGGCAGTAAATCCCAGAATCTGCATTTATGTCCAGGAAAAAGTTCACTCTCTCCTAACAGCAGGGCACCGTCACCTTCTCAAAATCTCCCAGCCTTTCTCAGCTATCATTCAACAGCTGTCAGGCTCTGGGGGAGCAGAACAGAAGTCATCCCGCCCTCACGCAGAAGGGCTGGGGGTCTCTCTGGTAGCAACACCCCGGGCCAGCACGGGGCCCCGGGTCTCTCTTTGAGAGAACTTAGTCTCTCAAGGCACGACGTGCTGACCTGAAAGGAATCTTCCTTGCTAGGCAGAAATATTTTGTAGCAGGTATTTCATTGCAGTTCTTACCATTCCCAGATAAGTGTTGAAATAAATCAATCCACAAATGGATTCCTGTGGCAATATCCGTCGAAGGAAATGGGATAGAGGATCTTGGTTTGGCGTAAATGAAAGTGGACGTTTTTGTCATTCGTAACTATTGGACATACTTCTTAGCGTAAATTTTAGCATTCCAAGGAAACAGGAGTTTAGAGAAGAGGCAAACTCCTGAGAACGTTTCTCTTGTGAGCATATTTCTCAGTTTGCCTACACTGCTTGGCGCAGCTGTCCTAGGAAGGCTGCAATATGCTTTTGCTTAGGTTTAACAGCAAGGAGATGTAATACTTATTGCAGCGTTGCCCATATTTTCACCTAGGTTGCTTCATCAGGTCACGGAATAAATATTTAATGCTATGGAAGGGAGGATTCATCCTCGTGAGACTCACAAGACCCGCAAAATGAGAACACAGGAGGTGGAAGAACAGTTATCCATAGCAACCCTTGGAAACAAAGATAGAGGTGAAGACAAATACCGTCTAATTATAAATATCCATTTCTGATCTATATACAGCCTAGTAACATGTATAGTGAAATTTATTACAGGAAATAATTTATGCTTGCACAGTGGAAAAATGATATATATTTAACATCCCTTGCATCTAATTATCAGGCAAATTTCTAAACAAAGCTCAAACCTGACCAACTTTTATACTCAAAATATCTCTCTGGTGTGGTTGAACCAAGACAAAAACAGGTACCAGAGATCTCAGGAAAACACTTTATTTCTCTGTAGCCATGTCATTTTAATCTCCTAATTGTAAAAATTACATGTCTTTCTAAAGTACATATTTGGATAGGTAATTCTAAATACACTTAATCTGCCTTATTCAGTTAGTTACAATTACACTTGCCATATAATAGTTGCAGTGTTCTTGAGGATTAGTCGTAGGCTAAAATAATAAGCACAGTGCTGATAAATATTAAATTTGCAAATATCTTGAAAAACAGAGCCTGACTTCACTAATGTCTTATATGACCATTTGATGCAAAAAAATCTACATTACCTAGCTCACAAATATTTTGGACCAAAACATAAAGGTACATCAAAGATAACAGCTGTTATCATTACTTGAATGGAAATTAGATGATCTTCCTTAAACCATTACATATATACAGTATATAAACTCCTAAGGTCCATCCAGTCTTCTGAGACGCAGTTGTGTTGTGATAGCATCATTCCTCCTACCGCAGTTGTGTCCTCGTGTTTGTACTACTGCAAAACAACATGCTTTGGGTTAGTGTGGCTTGTGCATTGCAAAACCGCAGTATTACGGATGTCACAGCAGTCCGATGGCTCATAAACACACAAATTGCATAGGGAGAACCTCAGATTTATGTGGCGTTTCCTCCAACAGACTCTGCTCCTCTCCATCAGTCTTATCCAACTCCAATCTAAGCACTCATCGTACTTCTAGTTCCACACTTGTTGGCCACTTACTGCTTAATTCAAGCAATATGTGAGAGCTGGTATAAAAAGCGTACAAGTTGCTTTATAGAAGTAGTTAACTCTACTCTGGTAGAGTATGGGTGTTCAGGATCAGTCAGGAGGTATGAGCAGTGGTCAATAGACTTATGTCGGGCTCCTACCCAGAGGAAGGGATGAGTGATGGAGGTAGGTCTCTCAGAAGTGAGTGAGCAATGTCGGTAGAGGTTCCACCTCTTTTTTTGCAGGGGTGATAGACATTTTCTGGTTAGAATGGGTTTTTCCCTGATCTGAAGGGGAAGAAAAATGCTTGTGCCTGATCTAAAGGAGTGTATTGTTTCCTCTGTAATGGCTGGGATTCCTCTGTTACGTTTGTTTTATGTACGTAAAATAAAAATGATTTTTTTTTAATTAAAGCAGTTGCTGGGAGTGTTTTAGCTAGGCTAGAGGAAAATCAGATCAGTTTGTATCTGATACAGAATGAGAACACAGTAGCTGTGCCCAGAAGATAATCTGAATCTCCTTATAAAATAGCTGGGAGAGCAGGGTGGAAGCTTACCAACAGCTGTATCAGACCCTGAGGCAACAGCAGTAATTCTCCTTGGCAGAAGCACTACAGAGATCCACTCTGCCAGCAACTGAAGCAGTACAAACTGAGACTGCAAAGAAAACAGCAAGAAGACAGTGGCAGTCCTTGCTATTTTTTCCGGCTCTTGAGAACCAAAGATGACAGTAGGGGCAGTTATATGAAGACTTGTGTAATGGTCCACTGAACCTGGCCCTGAAGATGACCTACAAATCCTTTCTAAGGAGTCTTGAGCAGTTGCCTGGAGTATAAACTTCGGTATAAGTGGTGCGAGTGGGTCCTGCTTTGGAAAGGAAGTGACTTGCACCTTGGTTGTAAACCAGCTGGATTATATGGGAGGTCGCACAGGCTTCTGTGGTCTCTCTGCCCTATGGGTTACAAGACGAAAGGCAGCCCTTGGGGTATAGCAGCTCTCTTCCAGGGCAGAACAACAGGCACAGCCGCTCGCTCACCCTCCCCCCACAGTGGGATGGGGGAGACAATCAGAAAAAAAAAGTAAAACCTCTGGGTTGAGGTAAAGACAGTTTAAAGATGACCGCAGAGGAAGGAGAAATAATAAATAAATAAATAAATAAATAAATAATAATAATAATAATAATAATAATAATAATAATAATAATAATAATAATAATAATAATAATAATAATAATAATAGAATATACCAAACAAGTGATGCACAATCACCACCTGCTGACCGATGCCCAGAGTGTCCCCAAGCAGCAGTCACTGTCCCCCAGCCGACTTCCTCCATCTTATATACTGGGCATGACTTCATATGGTATGGAATAGCCCTTTGGCCAGTCTGGGTCAGCTGTCCTGGATGTGCTCCCTCCCAGCTTCTTGTGCACCTGGCAGAGCATGGGAAGCTGAAAAGTCCTTGACTGGTGTAAGCACCGCTCAGCAACAACTAAACCATCAGTGTGTTATCAACATTATTCTCATTCTAAATCCAAAACACAGCACTATGCCAGCTACTAGGAAGAAGATTAACTCTATCCCAGCCAAAGCCAGGACAATGTATATCCAGCTCTTTGTCTTCATATATTAGAAGGGCGGTGAAAGCCTAGCACACGCTAATATTTTAGCATGAACCTTTAGAACAAGTCTTGCAATGAAGGTATGGTCATCACAATCATCTTAAAAAAAAGCAGGCTCTACCACAATCTTGTGTGCAAAGAATTTGCCTGT